GTGACCTCTCAACTGTAGCATTTCTAGTTTACCTTTCTAATTGAAACCAATGATTTATCTCGTTTCCTCAATGTACCCCCTCCTCACATGAAGGTAATGCCTTCTCTGTACAATCGTTTGTATCATTGGTTCTCAACCTTCCTAATGCCGCGACCCCTTAATACAGTTCCTCATGTTGTGGTGACCCCCAATTATAACATTATTTTTGTTGTTGCTTCATAACTGTATTTTGCTACTGTTATGAGTCGTAATGTAAATGTCTGATATGCAGGATGTATTTTCATTCACTGGACCAAATTTGGCACAAATACCCCATACGCCCAAATTTGAATACTAGGGGGTTGGGGGGGATTGAGTTTGGCATTTGGGAGTTGTAGTTGCTAGGATTTATAGTTCACTTATAATCAAAGAGCATTCTGAACTCCCCCAATGATGGAATTGAACCAAACTTGGCACACAGAACTCCCATGACCAACAGAAAATACTGCAAGGGTTTGTCGGGCATTGACCTTGAGTTTGGGAGTTGTAGTTCACCTACACCCAGAGAGCACTGTGGACTCAAACAATGATGGATCTGGACCAAACTTGGCACGAATACTCAATATGCCTAAATGTGAAGACTGGTAGAGTTTGGGGAAAACAGACCTTGACATTTGGGAGTTGTAGTTCCTGGGATTTATATTTTAACTACAATCAAAGAGCATTCTGAACCCCACCAATGATAGAATTGGGCCAAATTTCCCACACGGAATCTCCATAACCAACAGAAAATTGTGCAGAATGGTTGTGCATGGGCAAACCATTCTGCACAAACCCTGCCAAATAAGCTCTTGTGAGGGGTTCACTAAGGTCATAAACACCTTACAGACATAAAACAACAACAACTCATCTCCAAGATATCTGATCGTGCACATATATGTAAGCATAGGTGTTCCAAAACACAACAAATCCGAGATTCTATCCATTAAGATCCTTCTAAGAACACTAGGAACTGGAAAGCAGCACTGGACACCTGTAAAACTTTGTGTGTGTATGTATACAATATATATACACACATACACATCTATATAAACTAATAGTAAAACAATTAGCAACACAAATAATGTATACATAAAATAATGTTATTGTATGTATATATGTATGCATGCATGTATGCTTTATACATACCAGTTTGTTTGTTTATTTATTTATTTATTTATTTATTTATTTATTATGCCCCGCCTTTTCCCACTTCAGGGCTTACAGCAGATAAAAACATGCATAATAAAAGTCAAAACATTGAAAACCAAATATTAGCTGCCGCACATCCCAGAACATACATTAAATGATAAGAAACCATTAAAACCACCCATAAATAAATACATCCTACAGGTTCTTCCTCAACTGCAAGTCCTGAGTTTAGTCAAATGCTTATGAGTTTATCAAGGTTTATACAGACCACGTAGGGATGCTGATGAAGAAACACAGCCTAGAAACAACTAGCCAGGTATTGAAGCTGGAAAGCCATTAAATGCTAATCAAGGTGGCCAATTGCAACATTCACACTTGCCTCAAACAGACAAGAGTTCTTTCTCCCACCCTGGACATCATTCCACAGATAAATAAAGAGAGAGAGACAGAGAGAGAGAGAGAGAGATAGTTCATTTGCTTGTTTCCAATAAACCTCACAACCTCTGGGGATGCCTGCCATAGAGGCGGGCGAAAAGTCAGGAGAGAATGCTTCTGGAACATGGCCATACAGCCCGGAAAACTCACAGCAACCCAGACAAGAGTTCTTTCTGCCACCTTGACATTATTCCACAGATATATAAACCCCTCTTGCCTAGTTTCCAAAGAGCCTCATCTGAGGACGCCTGCCATAAATGTGGGCGAAATGTCACGATAGAATACTTCTGGACCATGACCAGACAGCCCCGAAAAAGCAGAACAATGAGTTTATTACGGTATGTACACATTAGTGAATAGATTCTATACAGGTCTATGATGTACATATGCAGAGCTGCTCCTGCATGCATATTCTACATATTGACTAGTTTCTATATCGTAATACACAGAGAGAGAGGAATGATACATATGTGAAGGGAAGTCACAGGGAGGAGGGAGCAGGCTTCCTTTCTGCTGCCCTGGAGACTCAGATTCAATGGAACAATGGCTTCAAACTACAGGAAAGGAGATTCCACCTGAATATGAGGAAGAACTTCCTCACTGCGAGAGCTGTTCAGCAGTGGAACTCTCTGCCCTGGAGTGTGCTAGAGGCTCCTTCTTTGGAGGCTTTTGAGCAGAGGCTGGATGGCCATCTGTCAGGGGTGTTTTGAATGCGATTTTCCTGCTTCTTGGCAGGGGGTTGGACAGGATGGTCCATGAGGTCTCTTCCAACTCTATGACTGTATGGGAAACCCTGGTGATGCAGTGGCTTAAACCGCTGAGCTTCTGAACTTGTTGACTGAAAGGTCGCAGGTTCAAATCTGGGGAGTGGCATGAGCTCCCGCTGTTACCCCCAGCTTCTGCCAACCTAGCAGTTCGAAAACATGCAATGTGAATAGGTCAATAGGTACTGCTACGATGGGAAGGTAACGGCGCTCCTTGCAGTCATGTCAGCCACATGACCTTGGAGATGTCTACGGACAACGCCGGCTCTTTGGCTTAGAAATAGAGATGAGCACCAACCCACAGTGTCGGACACAACTGGACTTAATGTCAGGGGATAACTTTTATTTATTTATTTATTTATTTTATTTATGACATTTATATGCTGCCCTTCTCACACCAAAGGGGACTCAGAGCGGCTTTTACCTTTACCTATGATTCCATGACCAATTCCCATAGACACATGGGAGAGGTCATTCCTCCTTTTTGATGGCTGGAGGGATAAAATGGGATGCTGTGGCAACAGCACACTGTATCAATGAGATATATTAGTTTTTCAGGAGTCTCTTCTTTCTCTCTATATAGAGAGCAGGTCTGGGCCAACTTGGGCCCTCTTTCCAGGTGTTTAGGACTGCAACCCCCACAATTCCTAACAGTAGGAATTGTGGGAGTTGCAGTCCAAAACACCTGGAGGGAGAGCCCAAGTTGGCCCAGGCCTAGTATATAGACATATTTATGTACTGTACTAGCTGTCCCCTGCCACGCGTTGCTGTGGCCCAGTCTGTTGATCTGGAAAATAAAGTTTCTAATATATGTAATTTCTTTATACTTGCGGGTAAACAGGATTTCTTGCTGTTTCTTTGTCAGTGTTGATGTGGAGATTGTCTGGTTTGCCTACTCTGGAACATGCAACATAGAATTGTCCTTCTTTAGGGGTCCCTTTCAAATTTATGACACGATATCTGTCATATACATGTGTGTGTGTGTGTGCGTGTATGAAACATATATATCTATCTATATCAGGGGTCCACAAACTTTTTTAACAGAGGGCAAGGTCACAGTCCCTCAACTGTTGGAGGTCCGGATTATAATTTGAAAAAAATGAATGAACTCCTATGCACACTGTACATATCTTATTTGTAGTGCAAAAACACTTAAAATACAATAATTAAAATGAAGAACAATTTTAACCAATATAAACTTATTAGTATTTCAGTGGGAAGTGTGGGTCTGCTTTTGGCTGATGAGATAGGATTGTTGTTGTTGTTGTTGTTGTTGTGTGCTTTCAAGTCATTTCAGACTTAGGTTGACCCTGAAGGAGGGCCAGGTAAATGACCTTGGAGGGCCGTATCCGGCCACCGGGCCTTAGTTTAAGGACCCCTGATCAGGACCATAGCCAGAAATTTTCGGGGGAGGGGAGTTTAAAATTTCACGGGGTGGGGGGTTGAAACCTGCCTCCTAGCTCACGCTGAAGCAAAGAGCACAGCAGGGGGCAGAGCAGCCTTCAATAGCCTGTTTGTTTTGTTCTGTTAGAAATGTAATACAGTGGTATGGTTGCTGATGACACGATAAATAAAATAAATAGCCTGCAGCTCCACCCCTGTCAACCACCTCCACCAAGTCTGGCCTCCTTAATTCAACACCACCACCCCAACTTGGTTGCTTCGCTACATCGGCTATTGCTGCAAGTAATGACAGTGTGAATAAATTGTCAATATTTGCTTGAGATAGTGCTTGCAGTTCTGGAGGGACTCTTAATTTTTTGCATCTCATAGACTTAGCATGGGGATTTGGTTAACCAGTTAAAATTCATGAGTAAACCAGGTATTTTTTAAAATCTGAAACATTTGGGGGGGGGGATTGAACCTCTAAACCCCCCCCCCTTGCTACAGGCCTGCCCCTGATCTATATCTATGGCTGGATGGCTCTTTGTCAGGAAGGCTTTGATTACATTTTTTGGCCCTTGTGAAGGGAGTTGGACAGGATGGCCTTAAGTATTTTCTATTGGTCAGGGAGATTCTGTGTGGGAAGTTTGCTCCAATTCTGTAGTTGGTAGGGTTCAGCATGCTCTTTGATTATAGGTGAACTATAAATCCCAGTAACTACAACTCCCAAATGTCAAGGTCTATTTCCCCCAAACTCCATCTGTGTTCATATCTGGGCATATGGAATATTCGTGCCAAGTTTGGTCCAGATCCATTACTGTTTGAGTCCACATTGCTCTCTGGATATAGGTGAACTACAACTCCCAAACTCAAGGTCAATGCCCACCAAAGCCTTCTAGTCTTTTCTGTTGGTCATGGGAGTCCTGTGTAGGAGTCCATCATTGGTGGAGTTCAGAATGCTCTTTGATTGTAGGTGAACTATAAATCCCAGCAAGTACAATTCCCAAATGACAAAATCAAAATTTTTCAGTGAAGGACATACATTGGGTTGTTAGGTGTATGCTGTCCAAATTTGGTGTCAATTGGCCCACTGTTTTTTGAGTTCTGTTAAACCCACAAACGAATATTACATGTTTATTTATATAGATGAATGAAAGATGAATTAAATGCCCGAAGGGAAGGAGGGAGAGAGTTGGGTGTGTCCCCAAAGGGTTTGCGCCCTCCTCCCTTCCTGTCTCCCTGACTCACTCGAAGGCGAAGAAGAGCCCGCTGGTGGCCACGATGAGGCCGAGGGTGAGGAGGAAGACGCCGCTGTGCCTGGCCAGCATGAGCCTCCCGCCGCAGTAGAAGCGGTTCCTCCCGGGGAAGGCCTCCCACTTGCGCCGGGACGACGGGGAAGCCGGCGGAGGAGGAAGAGGAGGAGGAGGGGGCGCCGGCGACAAGGAGCCCGAGCCCTCCGGCAGCGTCTCCGAGGAAGAGGCAGCGGGAAGTGGAGGCGAGGCGGCTGGGGCGCCCGGGGGGATCTGCTTGTACTCGCAGTCCTTCATGGCGGGCGGAGGAAGGCCTCCCCGTCCAGGCCCCGTCCGGTGGCGGCGGCGGAGGCTGAGAGGGCGCCAGCCTCTGGCAAGAGCCGCACCGCCCGCCCAGGAAGGAGGAGGAGGAGGAGGAGGAGGAGGAGGGCCCGCCTCCAGAGCGGACCAGGCCTCCCTCCCAGCGCCCCTCCACGCAGCTTCCGGTCTCCTCCTTCCTCCCTTCTTTCCCGCCAATTCGCCTCAGAGGAGGCCACAGTGAGCGGCCTCTTCTTTCCTGCACATTTACCTCACGTCGAACGCTAACACTGCACGGACACCCAAGGCCACAGCAAAGGGGACTGTTTAGGGCAGGCCTGGGCCAACTTGGGCCCTCCCTGCAGGTTTTTGGACTTCAGCTCCCACAATTCCTAACAGCCTCAGGCCCCTTCCTTCTCTTCTTCCCCCCCCCCCCCCCCACCGCTTATTATTTGGAAAGACAAATGCTGGGCCACTCTCACAACCACCTAGTGCAGGCCTGGGCCAACTTGGGCCCTCCCAGCAGGTTTTTGGACTTCAGCTCCCACAATTCCTAACAGCCTCAGGCCCCTTCCTTCTCCCCCCCCCCCCCCCCACCGCTTATTATTTGGAAAGACAAATGCTGGGCCACTCTCACAACCACCTAGTGCAGGCCTGGGCCAACTTGGGCCCTCCCAGCAGGTTTTTGGACTTCAGCTCCCACAATTCCTAACAGCCTCAGGCCCCTTCCTTCTCTCCCCCCCCCCCCCCCACCGCTTATTATTTGGAAAGACAAATGCTGGGCCACTCTCACAACCACCTAGTGCAGGCCTGGGCCAACTTGGGCCCTCCCAGCAGGTTTTTGGACTTCAGCTCCCACAATTCCTAACAGCCTCAGGCCCCTTCCTTCTCCCCCCCCCCCCCCCACCGCTTATTATTTGGAAAGACAAATGCTGGGCCACTCTCACAACCACCTAGTGCAGGCCTGGGCCAACTTGGGCCCTCCCAGGTGTTTTGGACTTCAACTCCCACAATTCCTAACAGCCTCAGGCCCCTTCCTTTCCCCCCCCCCCCCCCAACTGCTTATTATTTGGAAAGACAAATGCTGGGCCACTCTTACAACCATCTAGTGTAGGCCTGGGCCAACTTGGGCCCTCGCTGCAGGTTTTTTGACTTCAACTCCCACCATTCCTAACAGCCTCAGGTCCCTTCTTTCTCCCCCCCCCCCCATTTATTTATTTATTCCTATATACCCCGCCCTTCTCACCCCCAAGCGGCCTCACAAAAGCACTAGCGTTACAGAGATGCCACATCGCATTGCACAAGAAAAACTTACCTAATGTAAGCCAGGCCGGAGACAGATAATACAAAAAGAATGTAAGAGTTCTTTAATGGTGAAACCCTTACCCTAACCCTGAACCATACCGTAAGGCTAAACCTAACCCCTTACCCTAACACTTACGCTAACCCAAACCGTAAACCTTACCCTAATCCTAAACTGTACTCTACCCATAACCCCTAAACCTTACCCTAACGCTAGCCCAAACCCTAAACCTATCCTAATCTTATACTGTACCCTAACCGTAACCTCTAACCCAAACCCTAAACCTTACCCCAACCCTAAACTACCCTAACTGTAACCCCTAACCGTAACCTTAAACCTTATGCTAGCCCAAACACTAAACCTTACCCTAACCGTAACTCCTTACCCTAACCGAAACCCTAATCCTTACGCTAACCTAAACCCTAAACCTTTGTTGTTGTTCATTCGTTCAGTCGTCTCCGACTCTTCGTGACCTCATGGACCAGCCCACGCCAGAGCTCCCTGTCGGCCGTCACCACCCCCAGCTCCTTCAAGGTCAGTCCAGTCACTTCAAGGATGCCATCCATCCATCTTGCCCTTGGTCAGCCCCTCTTCCTTTTACCTTCCACTTTCCCCAGCATAATTGTCTTCTCTAGCTTTGCTGTCTCCTCATGATGTGGCCAAAGTACTTCAACTTTGTCTCTAGTATCCTTCCCTCCATGAGCAGTCGGGCTTTATTTCCTGGAGGATGGACTGGTTGGATCTTCTCGCAGTCCAAGGCACTCTCAGAACTTTCCTCCAACACCACAGTTCAAAAGCATCGATCTTCCTTCGCTCAGCCTTCCCTATGGTCCAGCTCTCACATCCGTAGGTTACTACAGGGAATACCATGGCTTTGACTAGGCGGATCTTTGTTGCCAGTCTGATGTCTCTACTCTTTACTATTTTATCGAGACTGGACATTGCTCTCCTCCCAAGAAGTAAGTGTCTTCTGATTTCCTGGCTACAGGAACCTTACCTTACCTAACCTTACCATACCTTGCCCTAAACTTTACCCTAACCCTAAACTGTACTCTAACTGTAACCCCTAACCCTAAACCTTACCCTAACCCAGTGATGGGCAACCTTTTGAGCTTGGTGTGTCAAAATTTGCCAAAAACCTGAGCATAACTTGGGTGGGGTGTCAACTTCAAGAAAAAAAACCCCATAATTTTGCAATATTTATTGTTTAAGTAAGAAAAATGTATATTCCACGCTGAGTTATGGAGTAAACAATGCTCAAACGTGCAGATGTTAAATTTGTAGAGCCTTTTACATATTTAAGGATGGAATTAGATTGGCTCTTATAAGGTGTACTTCTCTGTATGCGGCCGCATGTGGTCGCATGTCATCAAAAATAGCCATGTGTGTCAGTGCTGACACACGTGTCATAGGTTCACCATCATGGCCCTAACCCAAACCCTAAACCTTACCCTATCCCTATACTGTACCCTAACCGTAACCCTTGACCCTTACCCTAACCCTTACGCTAACCCTTACCCGAACCCTAAACTGTACCCTAACTAACCCTAAACCTTACCCTAACCCTTATGCTAGCCCAAACCCTAATCCTTACCCTAACCGTAACCCCTTACCCTAATCCAAACTCTAAACCTTGCCCTAACCTTTACCCTAAGCGCCCCCTCCTTTCTATCCTTCCTTCGCTCTCCTCACTCTCACTCTGCCCCCTCTCTTCCCTTATTCACAACCGCCTTTGCGGCATCTCCGTAACTCTCGGAGCTTCCGGACCCAGCTATCATACTATCACCAAAGCTACAGACAATGCGGTCGCCGTTGTCCATTTTTGGTCTAAAATTATTGTGCTCCTTTTATCAGTTTTATAATTATTTATGCAATGCTTTTGACACAAAATGAATAAATAAATATCCTCTGTGGAGGCCACAATAGCGGTTCTCCTCCCGCTTCCCTGTCAATCCCTTCTTTCCTGCCATCTCACCCCAGAGGAGGCCATAATGGCAGTCCTCCTCCTGCCTTCCCAATTCACCCCAGAGAGGCCCTCTGTGGGGCAAAAGGCCTCCCTGGGCCTCCTCTGGCCTCCCTCCAGGTTTTGGACTTCAACTCTCACAATTCCTAATAGCCTAACTTTAAAAGAGAGCAAATACTTTAAGAAAGATGGGAAGTGGCAGGTGCAAATAACATTTTCCAATTGCATTCTCAAGAGCAAGAATTTTGATAGAAAAGGATCTTTTCCCACAAAATGATTGCAAACCACCAGGAGGCCAAGGCTGGTCCTGCACACATCAAACTCTTGCTCCCCTTCCTTGCCCAGAAGAATCCTCTCATGTTGGCAAGGTACAAACAAGGGCCACTTGGGATGATATTAAGGAATCAGCCCCAAGCAATGCAGGGCTCTTTGAAGTTACAGGCAGCCTTTGAATTACCCTGAGAAGCAAACTGGAAGCGAGATAAACGTTTCCAAAGAGAGAAATGAGGAGCCCCGGGCTCTCAATAAGCACTGCAGGCAGCCCTCCCTTCACTTTTGTGGATCTGATTATTACAGGCTCTCTAGGAATCTCTAGATCCTCCAGGACATCCCATTGCAACTAAATATTCCTAGAGTTGTTCTCAAGTTTTAAGAAAACCTGCCTTTTTATTTTGGGTTTTTCACCTTTATAGGAGTCATTTCTGATGGAGCATGCAAGGAATCAGTCAATGTGTGTGTGCCAACTAAAATAAGATGTACAAAGCTGATTGCTTGACTTAAATCAAGAAATAGTTTTCTAAGATCTACAGAGACACTCGCTGGAACACCTCAGCAAGCGAGAGTCCAAAAGTGGCAGGCTCAAACCCAGAATCTCAATCAGTGGCTGATACCAAATGAGAGACTCCCTCATTTGGCCAGCTACTGGTCAAAGGACCTTTAATAGAATGCCAAGTTTGCAAACTTTGTGTGTGTGGTTTTTTTTTTTTGTTTGTTTGTAAAACATACAACTGTTTGGTTCGCTCCTGACACGATAAATAAATAAATTGGTCAGGGAGATGGCTGGATACTAGTTACATTTTTGTTCAGGTTCGAGCTATGTAGGTGCAGAGACAGAGTTTGGTGTGCTCTCACTTCATGAGCTGCTGAAGTTTACCTACATGGACAAAGAAAGACTTATTGTAAATCTCTCATAAAAAGACATTATGTGAATAGATGCAACTGATCATATTGTACATGTTGTTCTGAAGTACGAAGAGTAAACCACTTGTTCTTTACTGTTCACCTGCATGGAATATTTTCTTTCTCTGACAAGGCAGCGTGTGGGCTGATCAAACGTGAACTACACATGGGTTATTTTACATTACGCCACAATTTCTGCAGTGAATGTGAAAGGCCTATGTATGCTCACAATAATAGTCATAGTATTAGCGTCTGACTAAATTTTGCAGGTGCTTTGCTGCAAGGTATAACAGACTTATTTTACCATGTTCAGATGTCCTCTAGTGGGGTCTTGAGTGGACAAAGAATAGGCCCAGAATCACACGTTTCACTCCCAAAAGCCATTTTATGCCACTCAGTCCTTCTAAACATCCCTTTTCTGGGCATTAAAATGACAAGCTGCCTGGTCTACGTTGTCCAAGAGTAGCAATTTACATCTTTAATGGTTTTGCAGTACCTCTGCAATGTTTAGCATTTAAATATTGTTTTTTTCTGAATCCAGAAGTGGATTTTCAACCACTTCCCATTTTGCATTTTTCTGTTGTTCACAGTTGGTGCACATCCAGTAAAAATTAGTGGCCGAAAGCTGCTCCCTGTACTACCCAATGATCCACCCTGTTCCATAGAAAGAAGTGCAGAATGCACACCAGCTTAAAATGGGAATAATTTTCTAGCCCAGATGCCTGAGTCTCCAAATGCAGTGCAACTTCACCCAAAGCAGCTGTACTCCTGTTAGACTAGCAGCTCTGTTGATTACAAGTATCACTTATCTTGTCCAGACTAACATCAGCAATCTTTACCTACATACTAACAGATTGATTACCTGAATGCCAAGCCTACTTAGTCAAATGACATCACCTACATAAACAGTGGTGATTATTCACCAGCTTAGGATAACCTCAAGGTCTACATCAAATAACAAGGCTGAAAAGGCTCCCCTAAAGGGGAGTGGCTTAAGAAAGTTAAATGAAACACTAATACATTGGATGCGACATAAGGGTTTAATCCACAAGGGTTACATCCCAGGTCCAGTGTGGCTGGCTCATGTTGACATCACAACCATCTTAGTCCGAACTCAAATTGGTTTTGAAAGCCATATATTGTTACAAAAAAGATGTCCTGCACTGTATCAAATTACTTTAGGCCACATGACTGCGGCTGCTACATGCTATTTTCTTTCTTGCATGCATAGGAATAAACATATATTTACATATACATATGCAACAGTCTTGCACAGCAACAGCTCCCAAAGTGACACATTTACAGTGGGATCACGTGTCAAAGACGGATGTGTCATTGCTCTAACCTTATTTTTCATCTTCACAGCTATGATTCTACACCTTGCTGACAGGAAGCTTCGCACCAGTGTGGAAATCACCTATTCAAAAGATGGCAAGCCATTTAACCTCAGCAGGTGGAAAGACAAAAGTAAGGTCACAACAACTTCTGTTATAGAACTCCAACGTGCTGATGATAACGTACGCAGTGTGCATTCAGAAAAAGACCTACAAGCCATTTCATTTATTTATTTATTTATTATTTTATTTATCGTGTCAGGGGCAACCAGACGATTGTATTACATTTCTAACAGAACAAAAACAAACAGACACAAAACAAAATTTGCAAGCTTGGTAGTTGATTAAATGTCCTTTCACCAGTATCCGGCCACTTGGAGTGCCTCTGGTGTTGCCGCAAGAAGGTCCTCCATTGTGCATGTGGCAGGGCTCAGGTTGCATTGCAGCAGGTGGTCAGTGGTTTGCTCTTCTCCACACTCGCATGTCGTGGATTCCACTTTGTAGCCCCATTTCTTAAGATTGGCTCTGCATCTCATGGTGCCAGAGCGCAGTCTGTTCAACGCCTTCCAAGTCGCCCAGTCTTCTGTGTGCCCAGGGGGGAGTCTCTCATTTGGTATCAGCCATTGGTTGAGGTTCTGGATTTGAGCCTGCCAATATATTCTGTCTGCAATAACACACACACACACACACATATATATATTTGGGAACACCTCTGCAGGAACATATGAAAGGCTTGGCCTCTCACTGAACACTTACTGTAGGCTAAAAAATGTTGACCATTTCCGCTACCTTAGCAGCCACCTCTACACAAAACATCGATGCTGAAATACAACACCGCCTGAGCTTTGTGAGCGCATTTTTTCAAATGAAGCAATGTTCGAGGATCAGGACATTCATAGGGATACCAAGGTGCTGGTTTAAAAATTGATTCATGCGAAACATGGACCGTCTACAAACGTCACTCTCAAATTTTGGAACAATTCCATCAACTGCCAGAAAATCCTGCAAATCTCTTGGGAAGAAGACAGCCGGACAAATGTCAGCGTGCTGGAAGAAGCAAAGACCACCAGCACTGAAGCCATGATCCCTTTGCTGAACTGGTCACGATGTCTGAATGCCCAATCACCATCTCGCAAAGCAGTTACTTTTCTCTCTGCTCAAATATGGAAAGTTAGTGGTCAGAAAAAGAGATCTAAAGATGGGATTAAAGCTAACCTAAAAACATGTGGAATAAACACAGAGAACTGGGAAGTCCTGGCCTTTGAGTGTCTTAACTGGAGGTCAGCTGATACCAACAGTGCTGTCGATATTGAGGAGGAATGAATGGAGGAAAAGGGAGAAGCGGGCTGAGAGAAAGGTACATCAAGCCTTCCAATGGGATATTATTGTTCACATTGTGTCAGAGCATGTGGCTCCAGAACAGGTGTGGTGTAAGGTGCCTTTAAGACAGCCCTTTGTGAACACAGCTGCAGTGTATTTATACTGGAGACAGTGTTTGAAAAGCAGCTTGTCAGACAAGGCATTGAAGGTAACCTACACATGGAATAAACGACTACCCTATAAGATACTGAACTGAGTCTGTCCACCGCCAGTTCAACAACGAATATTACAACAGTTCTCTACAGTCACTTACGGACCCACCACCAAAACTCTACCCTTGGAAGACAGTCATGGTCAGCCATGAGTATTTGGCTTCTGATGATACATATATCTGCATGTTCATGTAAACATATTTTCCTATCATTTTTATCACCCACCTGCATCCCCACTGCCCTTCTCTTTCCCCTATGCAATCCATTAACCTCTTTGTTCCATGTGTCTATATAATTGTGCATCTGTTGTGATGATTAAATGCCCCCTTATTCTATTTAGTCCACAACATTTAGTTTCTTACATACTCTTCCATCAAGAGCCCCAATCCAGCCAATTACAGCCCAATTAGAGTTCAACAAACTCTCTTCGCTTGTTCTAGAACACTTATGTCCAAGGAAAGAAATTGCAATGAAGGGCCAGACCCAGAAGCCAATAGGAAAGTCCATATCCCAGAATGCATTGGGTGAGAGCCGTAGTTTTTCTCCAGTTGCTCAGAAGCGCCAGCACAAGGTTTTCCTTTCTGTCCCACAGAGAGTCGCTCTCTGGGGTTTTCTCGGAGCAGACTCTTCCATGACAAGGATCTGCAGCCCTTCTCTGCAGTAAAGGTTCATGGTCATAAAGCAGTTGAGCAGAAAACCAATAAAGGACCGGAGATGAGGAGCCCAAAAACCGGGTTATAACCTGTTGAAATAATTAACAAAGCAGGAATTATCAAAGGGATTGCCATATCAGTCTGTTGCAACATAAAAAGAAGAAAAAGGGAGAGAGGAAAGAGGAATCTAGCAACACCTTTAAAAGTGCAGGCAGTCAAATGGGGGCAAAACAACAGGAATCTATCCTTTCAGAAGGGAAATTCACTACTGAGTTACAGTAGAGTCTGACTTATCCGACCTTCACTTATTCGATGTTCCGTGTTATCCGACGCTTATCTGAAGGAGGGAGGATGCAGGACCGGAAGTAAAAGTGTCCTCCTTCCTTCCCCCTGTGATTTCCACACTGAGCGCACCTTCTAATGTGAGCGAGGAGCAGTGAGGAGAGCAGGCGGTGAGAAAAGTAGGCGGTATAGGTTGGGCCTACTACCTCCCCCTTGCAGCTCATCTTTTTCGGGGCCTTACAGCCCACTTCCAGGGCCTGCTGCTTCCTTTTTCCTCTCGCAAAGCACCCAGGCCTGGCTGACCCCTTTCCGGAAGTCTCACAAAACACCCGGGTCTCATCCTCATCCAGGGCTGGCTGACTCTAAGTGTCTAGCACTGCACAGTTGAAAGGTAGCACCGAAGACAAGGGAACTGGGAGGGATGGGGGCGGTAGGAGACTCCGTATTATCCAACATTTTCCTTTATCCGAAGTTCTGCTGGCCCATTTATGTCAGATAAGCGAGACTCTACTGTATAAGATTCGGACTCTAGCACTACAATAACAGTGTTGCTAAGTTTTGTGCTGCAGCACTTAAAATTAGATGGATGATGATTGACCCCGCAAAGCAACACCCTGTGGGAATGTAGTTAGAGCAACATGTTACAGCTGAAATGCTACTATTCTTAATAATAATAATAAAACTTTATTTATACCCTGCAACCATCTCCCCAAGGGGACTTGGGGCGGCTTATACAAGGCCAAGCCCAACAATTACATCAAAGCAAATATACAACATAAAATAATACATCAATAAAATATAAGATAAATAATAAAATAAAAAGCGATACAAGATAAGCACACAATGCAAAATAAAATCACAATAGTCGATCATGATGGGCAGGGCCGGTTGCAAAGATTAAAAGGTTTAAAAACTCTAGGTAAGTAGTGCAATGTATCTAGAAGGAGGTTCAGGTGGGACGAAACAATGGGGTTTAATTGCACTAGAGGGTAAAGTAATGTGAAATGTGCCCCTCCCATCCCCTTTATTGCCCCCCCCCCAGTGCTTTGACCCCTCCTATCAGTCATCCCCCCCTCGGTTCCACACCTGTTACATTAACCTGTGTTTTTAAACTGTGATTTTAAACTGTTTTCCAATATGTTTTTTAATAACTGCTTCACTTTGTGCTGGTCAGTGACTGTAATAAAGTTCTGTATTGTATTGCACTGTATAGGGAAAAGGTGTCTCCACTGACAATTTCTCACCGATCCTTGTTTCCACAACAAGCTACGTTTTCCAAAACCCAATCATCACAGACAGAAAATGAAGATAAATTTTCTGAACATAAGCACAGACAGCAAAGGAAACACTACTAGGGTATTAATCCTTCCCATTGCTATCCAAAGCCAGATAGATAGATGGATGGATGGATGGATGGATGGATAGATAGATAGATAGATAGATAGATAGATAGATAGATAGATAGATAGATGGAGTTGCTTAAAAATGTACCTGTTCCAATTTACATACAAATTCAACTTAAGAACAAATCTACTCAAACTATCTTGTTTATAACTTGGGGACCAGGCATGTAGCCGGGGGGGGGGGGGGAGGCTTGAGGGGCTTCAGCCCCCCCCCCCCCCGAAATTCTCATGGTGGTTCGCGAAAAGGCCTTACTGGTGCATTATTTAAACTGTTATGTTTATTCATATCATGATCTGATCACCATACTCCATATATTCCATATGCATGGGGGTACTGGGGTAACGATAGAAAAGGTTTGCTAGGGTAGACCCTCTTTCACTCAGATTCAGCGCCCCCCTCCCCCCCCCGACTCGAAATCCTGGCTACGGGCCTGTTGGGGACTAACTATATCTGGTTTATTCTAGCATTGAGAGCAGTTATGGATATCAAGCAACCCATGGTTTTAGTATTTCTCAGTGCATCTGAAGAAATAGACATATCTATTCAAGAGCATACTAAAATAAATCAGTCTGAAACTTACATTCCTTTTTCTTCTCTCCCTTTTTCTAAGGTAGAGACGATATTTCCAACCGTATGCCCAAGACCTTTCAAAATTAAACAAGTATTTTCTTCCAAGTTTACTCCCTGCTTTAAAAAAAGGCATCTCTCTGGAGCAGATCTGGGCAAACTTAGGCCCTCCAGGTGTTTTGGACTTCAACTCCCACAATTCCTAACAGCCTTAGGCCCTTTCCTTTTCCCCCTCAGCCACTGCTGTACAGACAAAAACTGTTGGGGGAGGGAGGTGGAAAATCAGAATAAAAATTGAATGTAATATCTTAGGCCTTGGATGGATGGCATCCTGAACATTTCTTTTAAGTCCTTCTGCACTCCAGCCCACATATCTATTAGCTTCGGGAAGTTGGAAGTCTACTTTTAAATGACAGAGATCTACTTTTAACCACAACAGCAGTCTAGAAGGGGCTCCTGTATGAGACCTGAAACACTAGATCTATCACAGTAGTAAGGGGCCAACATTATATAGGCTAAGCCTCGAGGCTGCAAATAGGTTTTTAGCAACTCACTTTCCAAGTAAGGTATAATTAATGATTAAATAGGATTGTTATTTCTGTGTACCTTCAAGTCGTTTCAGACTTAGGACAACCGCAAGACGGTCCAATCACAGAATTTACTTGTCAAGATTTATTCAATTTTGGTTTCCACAACCCTATTTGGTTTCCTCTGAGGCTGAGAGAGTGTGACTTGCCTAAAGGCACCCAGTGGGTTCAGAAACATAGTCTGAGGTTCAAACGACTGTGCCACGCTTTCTGAATTCCTTCTCTCCTTTTTTCCTACCTCCCTTTCTTTCTCCCCTCCTTCCCCCTCTTTTTCCTCCCTCATTATTTCTTTCTGCCATTCCTTTTCTACTTTCCTTCCTTCCTTTTTGGCAGCATGTGGCAGTGGCACATACCGGCAAGTAGTGGCAGTGGGTGCACTTGGTGGGCAGTATGTAACTTGAGAACCATATGTTGTGCAGGCCTTGTCTATACCATCTGAACAGGAAATGCTAGGTCAATGCCCACTAACCATGAGCACTTGTCTTTTTTTTAACAATTGTTGCTGAGCCTGAAAATTTTAACAACTAAAAAAAAGTCTTGATTTGCAATGCTAATCAAGGTGATTAATTGCAACATTCACACTTGCCTCCAACAGACATGAGGGGAGCTTCCACGGATATATAAACCTCCCTTGCATAGTTTCCAATATACCTCACCTCTGAGGATGCCTGCCATAGATGTGGGCAAAATGTCAAGAGATGCTTCTGGAACATGGCCAGACAGCCCAAAAAACTCACAGCAATCCAGTCTTGACTTGGCAAGTCAGGACTATTAGTTTTATGAGTCAGTCTCTCTTCCTCATCACATTTAAAGAACAAAGCTTGGAAACTTTGATTTTATTTTATTTGGAGCACAATTCCCAAAATGTCCCTTTCAGCACGGTTAGTGGCCACCTGGACTGGGAGATTTTAATTAAAAAAGGAGTCCAAGTTCTGCTTGAGACACATATGTCAAGTCCTTTGCTCAAACCCAGATCTGACCTTCTTACAGCTGCTATTCTCAACCCAGTTCTCTTTGGACTAGTTTTTTTGTTATTGTTTATTCATTCAGCCATTTCAGACTCTTTGTGACCTCCTGGACCAGCCCACGCCAGAACACCCTGTCCACCATGGCCACCCTCAGCTCCTTCAAAGTCAAGCCAGTCAGTTCAAGGATCCCATCCATCCATCTTGCCCTTGGTCTGCTCCTCTTCCTTTTTCCTTCCATTTTCCCCAGCAAAAATGTCTTCTCTAAGCTTTCCTGACTTCTCATTATGTGGCCAAAGTACTTCATCTTTGCCTCTAATATCCTTCCCTCCAGTGTGCAGTTGGGGTTTAGTTCCTGGAGTATGGACTGGCTGGATCTTCTTGCGGTCCAAGACACTCTCAGAATTTTCCTCCAGCACCACGGTTCAAAAGTGTCTCTTTTCCTTCGCTCATCCTTCCTTATGGTCCAGCTCTCACATCCATAGGTTGCTATGGGGAATACCATTGTTTTAAGTATGTAGATCTTTGTTGCCAGTGTGGTGTCTCTACTCTTCACTATTTTATCAAGATTGGTCATTGCTTCCCTCCCAAGAAGTAAACTCCTTCCGATTTCCTGGCTCCAATCTGTGTCTGCAGGAATCTTCACGTGTAGAAATACAAAGTGTGTCACTGCCTCCACATGGGAAACTTTAATTTTATCTGGAGCACAATTCCCAAAATGTCCCTCTCAGCATGGTTAGTGGCCACCTTGACTGGGAGATTCGAATTCAAAAAGGAGTCCAAGTTCTGCTTGAGACACATATGTGAAGTCCTTTGCTCAAACCCAGGTCTGACCTTCTTACAGCAGCTATTCTCAACCCAGTTCTCTTTGGACGTGGCTACAACCCCACAGATCCCAGCTATGTGTGGATGACAGGGATTGTAGTCCAATCCACCTGGAAAATACCAGATTGGCAGTGGCTGCTTTACAAAAATAAAGGCCCAGTACACGTCACTGCATCCACACATTCTTCATCTGATCACTATCATTTGTATTTCTCTGTAAAGAAAGAATTAAACTGCCACTTCCTTGCAGGAAGCAACTTGTCCGTTTTGATTTAATTCTATACAAGAGCGTGACATGTAAGATGGGAAACTGTAAATAATAGCAATAAATGATGCCATCGCCTGCTTACGAAATGGAGTAATATGTTGCTTTGTTGACTGTTCTAAGGAAAAATTGCAAACACGTTCTGTACGTCAATAGTGCTATTCACATAACAAACGCATTCAACTGTGGGGTGG